TGCCGAGGATCGCGGAGGAGAAGGACTCACCCACACACCACGCTGGACACTCTAAATTGCCCACAAGGTAACTATACGAACGTTACTAACCGATTAATACCTGTTTGTAATTTGACTAGGGAAATTATAATATGATTATGAAACTGTCTTTGTTAGCAGAACCCCAGCAAAGCAGAGTACTCCGAGCATCTTCACGTCGTCACCGAAGAGTGTGGACAGAGGTGTGGCGGACGCGAACGCCTCTTTCGCTTCACTCTCTCTGTCTGATGAATCTTTTATGGAGACATCTATTGATACGTCGAATATGGATACTTCTAGAGAAGTCTTTTTGGGTAATATTTTAATTAAGGATTCTGAGAGAAAATAATTACTTCACATAGTTACTAGGTAGTAGTAGTTAGTTAGCGTCGGTGGCTCAGTGGTTAACCACCTGACTTGCAATCTGCAGCTCCTGGGTTCGAATCCCGCCATGTACCAATGTGTTTTTCGATATCCGACGTCTTACTGTGAAGGAAAACATTGTGATGCTGCACATATCTGAGAAGAAATTCAAAGATATGTGTGAAGTCAACCTGCACTTGGCCAGCGTGGTTGACTATGGCCTAATCACCTTTAACCTAAGGTAGGCTCTGAGCCCCTCGGTGGGGACGTATAGTGAGATGATGATGATGATGACATAGTTACATACTGCAGCTACCCAATGTTTACCTCAGACAAAATAGATTCAAAGTCGCCTGTCCTATGCCTTAACATAGTTACTACTAGAAAAAAACTATATCTTAAGTACGTGACAAAGAATCTGAATTTATTTCACAATAAATTATAGTTGTTGATTATTAAACAGATAACTAATATGAATGTCCTGTTTGTTAAATTCCAGATGACAGCAGATCCAGTACAGAACCAAACGTGACTACAGATATAAGCAAGAAAACCACCACAACATTTGAAACTGTGCCATCATCAAGTCAAACTGATACACATTCAAAGACCAGACAGACGCCAGAAACCAGTTCCAAAGAGGAAGACTTGAAGAAAGATAAAAATAAGGCTAAAGAGAAATCAGAACTGAAGAAGCAAGACTCGATAAAGAAAATGGAGATCTCAGAAATTAAAGAAGAAAAGGCTGAAGTGAAAATAGAAGAGAAACCAAAAACAGAGAAACCTATGGAGAGAGTCGGCTCTATGAAGAAATCGGAAAAAGCTGAGGCGAAGAAAGAGAAACAAGAGAAGGCGGAATTGAAGAAGCAAGAGAAGATGGAAGCGAAGAAAAATGAATCTGCAAAGAAATTGGAAGGATTGAAGAGACAGGAATCAGTGGAAATCAATAAGGTAAAGTGAACTTGCACTAGAACATTAGCTGCGACACTCATTTTGTTCTGTTAACTTAAGTGGTCCCTTAGTCTAGATTTACCACACTAAATGTATACTTAAGGACATCTATTAGTCAAGACTATGAGTATGTTAATAAATACGGAATTTGTTTTGTGTTTGTCCAGTCCCCGGAGGCGGTGGAGTGCAGCAGTGTGGGCGTGGTGGTTGTGGGCGGGGCGGAGGCGGGACGCGGCAGGAACAGCATGGTGAGCAAGCTGCTGGGAGTGATGGGCCGCAAGACACCGCGTGATCGTGACGATGATGACCACAGACCAGCCAAGAAACAGGACAAGCACGCCAAGAAGAAGGTAGATAAGATAACGCAATGTAACCTAATCTCCATTAAGAAAATCTCTACCTTCCCCCCTTTTTCCCTTCCATTTTAGTTATAAATGTCATCTGCATATTAATAATTAGTATGTAATAAAATACTTGATAATTAAGTGTATTTTGTTTAAAGTTATGAAATTACTTGTAAATTAAGTTTTAAATATATTTATAGGGTCAAAGCAACCCTCCAACCCCACAAGTCGTGGTGGCATTGCCTCCCAAACCGAACGAGCCTACATTACCCGAACGAGTAAGCGAGAAGACTGACGTCGTTGAAGATAAGAAGACGAAAAAGGGGCGTGGCCGCGCATCTAGCTCCTCCTCCGGCGAGAAATGAACCAATAAACACAAAAAGGCGTGGCTGCGTGAGTAACGTCTGCCAAGCAAGAAACTATTTATACTATTTTCGACTTTTATACAAAACAACTAAACTCTTCAGCTTCTTGGATGATTCAGTACTTTTGATAAGACATTTTGGACCTTATGTCTACACTATAAGGTCGTAATTATCAATTTGAACGATTAACCAAAGATTTAATACGTAACATCTTTGTGAACGAAATCAAATTAAGTTACAGTTCTTGAAAAAGTAATTCACTGACTTTTCATTCACTCATTCATTCATTCGTCTGAATGTCGACTAATAAGTCGATTTGACATTGTTTCTCGTAATAACAATTATAAATAATTAACCTTAAAAATAAATAAAGGCGCGTAAACTTGAATGTATACTTGATTGACGTAAAAAGGTGAAAATTTCATTATCAAACTAATATTAGTATAATTATGTACTTACATATGTACATAATCTATTTTTACTACTATTTGTGTCTATACGATTTTATTAGGGGCACGGAAAGTGCGACTAATTTGTTTGGCCCGGTGTTTCGTTGTGTCAATTTCTATACTATAGACAGACAAATTTAACTGACCCGATAGGCAGAATTAAAACTAAATTACAATAGCTCACTAACGCCCCCTATCAATATTAAATATCCCTGTTGTTTCTTGTCTTGTGTGTCTGTTTTCTATGCTAAAGTACGCTTACACGAGTATGCTTTCGTATTTTCTGATGAGTTATCCTGTTATCACCTCTCACCGGGCCAAATAAGTTTGTAGGACTATAAGCAAGTTTTTCTACTAAATGTCTTCGGTGTTGTATATCAATGTAATATTAGCTTTTTTTTAGTCTAATTAGTGTTTAGCAGAATTATTGGACTATTTTCAGCTGATCTCTTTATTAATTTTGAGGTTATAATTATAATATGTCAGAACTATTGAAAAATAAACGATAAACGCTCCTTGTTTTTAAGATTCGATGAACAAAAGTTTGTGCAAAAATTTAAAATAAAATTACTAATTGAGTCAATAAAAATTTTGATTTTATCCATAATTTGTATTAATGAAAAATAAAATATCACAATTACGTCGAAGAGATGCTTTAAGCTATATAAAAAGCTAACGCTCATAATAAAAAAATGGCGTTATTGCTTGCTGTAGAAACGCGAATAAAAGACGTAACAACGCTTTCTGATTGGCTGTTTACATACGTCACTATGACGTATTGATTTCCTATTGGTTAGTCTATGCGATAATTTTATTGCCTATTAAGACTTCGTACAAGGCAACGCGAATGTTCGAAACTTTATTTTAAGTCGCTAAAAGCAGTTACAGTCAGGTAGAAATAGTTACTGGACTAAGCCAAGGCTACATAGATTTACGGGGTTAGACAAAATGTATTTGTTTCATAACGATTCCATAAAGAACTTTAAAGATGCATAGAACTGACAATATCTTTTGATAAGTCACGTGATTGTCACGCTTCATTTTTATACATTTTTGTAAATATGAAATCGCCTGAAGCGAATGCAACTAACTCGACTATAGAGCTAGAAGAAAAACCAGACACAACTTAATTCTTAATATCGTGGCAAAAATCGCTGTGATTTTCAAACCAGAGCCATACAAGCAAGTAGTCGCTATTTAGACGCGTTGACGATTCAACTTTGTGTGTGCGCAACGTGATACATGCGTAGTAAGTGGTTTTGAAGATTTGCGTTGCCTTAAGTACAATTATTTATTGTTAAATGTCATATAGATGTGTTTCTTGAATAAAATAAGCGTATAAACGCTTTGGCTGGAATTAAACACTGTCTTAATATTAAAAAAAAAAACGGCTAAACGCTGACGTCCGTTAGCGGCACTTACTAGTTTCGAGTCCATCTGGGGCCCTTCATCAGGGTGAGCGGGACTGGTATTATTTAACTCACTGAGCGAACACTTTTTTTGACTACACGAGTGTTTAGCCGTTTTTTATATAAGCTTATTATAATGTCTCACGAAAGTTTAAATAAATAATTGTCTTTATATATTTTCACTTTGACTTCAATGTTTTTGGACGGCTGTTTATCAGTGGATACCCCAAAGTTATTTGTCAAGATTGTAATTCAGGCATTATATAGTTTCGATATTAAATACATTAACACATTATATGCTGATTCGCCTGGCGTGTTTCATGTCATAGAAAAAACTGTAGCATTGAACGTGTTAAGCCTCATTGTTATTTAATTTACAGTATTATATTGTTGAGGCGTAAAAAATTTTTTTTTTCAAAAAATTCTAAGAATTGTGTACACGCTTTTTTTTTAAATAATTGTTCGTAATTTTATCTTTGTTCTTTTGTATGCTTAGATTTAGGAACATTATGTGATAATATTTTTAATAACTATTGTGTAAAAAAAATGGGTTGTGTTTTTTTTTTAATTTCATTGTTGCTTTATACCGTCTTGTATATATTTTTATTAATATTTAATCGACCCCAGATATATCAATAACCGTGCCATAATTAAAAAACATTGCCTTTTTATGCTTTTTATTTTTGTTTTTAATTTGAGGTCTACTAACACTTTAACTGCCAACAATTTTTTAATCTGAAAAAATGCTTAATTTTTTTTTGAACTTTACTAATTTAAATCTATGTCTATTATTTTGACTTTAACACTTTTTAAAGGATTAAAATAAGTTTGTTTATTTTATTTTTTTTAATTTGTAGTCTTCCATAAAATAGTACTTATTTCCTTTGATTCAATTTTTGTTATTTTTATTTCTTTGTTTAATTTTTCTTAATTTTATTAGACCTCTTTTTTTTAATTCTTTTGTTGTTTATGGCCGAATTTTACTCAGAGTAAAATGTTATTGTCTTTGGTTAAACGCCTTGTATATTCTTGTATTTGTGCAAGACTCAACAAGATGTTTAAATGTCGAATATTTTTAATACATTTATTGAATTTTAACGTTATTTTTTTATAAAACTTTGTATTCATCGAAATTAATTTTGTATACATTTTTAATTAGTATGTATACATTTAATTGGTATGTATATTTTGTTGTATACTTTTGTGCTTTTTCTATTTAACTTTTTTTTTATCTTTTTCAAATTAAATACTCAATGGTTGAATGTCTTGTGTATTGCCAGCAAAATGTGTTTTCTGATTTTTATGCATGGTAACACAGGGTAATGAGAAAAAGTTTTATTATTTACCCGATTGTATATTTATTATATTAATTTTAATATATATTTGCTATATTTGTAATTTAATTTTCAAATAATATGACCAACAGAGACAATGAATTTTTATCATAGCTCTTTGCGTAATTACATTGTTTTTCGGGACCACAGCTTCGATATGTAGATTTTTTTTATTGTCAGCTGAAAATTTTTACCATAGATTGTTTACTATAAGATTGGCAAATATAAAAAAAAATCTTAAGTTATTAATTTTTTTTTGTTTCACTGATAATAAAAAATAAAATCTTGTAGGTATTATTTAATGTTTGCTATGTTTTTATTGCGTTAGTTAATAGTTAACTGCCAATCTGTTAGTATGTTTAATCTATATAACGGAGCGGGACAGTTCCCAATGCTCAAAGATTAAGTAACTAAGTATGTAAGTTAGGTAAAATAAGCGTTGTTGTAGATTCGTTTTCATCGCATCTCATAAGCTTTACGTGTAGTATTATTTGTATGTTTCTCTTTGCCAGCCATAAATGTTGTAATTTTTTTTTAATTAATTGTATAATTAGTTATAATTTTGAATGTGATTTATGTATAATGTATAGTATGGATGGAGTTTAGATGTAATTGTGTACGAATCGATACAGATACGAAATAAACTCATGAATTAATTGGTTTTTTTTTTATGTGTAATTCCGTGTGATGCTGTCGCCCGCGACTCTATCTTAAATTAAAAAAAAACTTTATTTAGACGTGTAGGCTATGTGTTCTTTCAGACTATGTTCTATATCTATGTCAATTGCAGCGAGATATATGCAGCCGTTTTGGAGATACCTTCAAACATCCATCCATCTACATTCGCATTTATAATATTAGTAAAATTGGTTGTCTCATTGTTTTCAGCGGAAAAGAAGGGTTTTTTTTTCAAGTTTTGTCAAGTCTGAATCTAGGTCTAAATTAAATTAAACAACACGTATTTTCAAAATTTTATTGATGTGTCCATTTTTGATGTAACAATTGGAAATCAACACGCGCTCTAACAAATCCGTAGCAAAGCTAATGACGTCACAATCAGGGCTAACAGGCGAAACGTTCAGGCATCGAAATGAACAAGAAATAATTGTTTGTGCGCGGAAAAACAATATAGGTTATAAAAATCAGACTAATTTAAAAAAAAATACGGCAAATTAAAACAACCCATAGATAAGTAACCTTTTTTACCAGTTTACGGACAAAATATATCCTGGTTTTAAATACTATGATATTAAAAAAAATGTTTTTAATATTAAAATCAAAAATAAATCAATTCCAGTTTGCTTTACAAATTACTAAGGGTTACAATTTCAAATGCAATATAAACCTTATACCCTTAAAAATCAAGACATTTTATTAATCGATACAAGTTTATTAAAGGGAAGGGTCTTAGAAAACACGCTATGTGATGTGCTACAAAATATAGTTACATCAACTTACAAACTATTATAAGATTCAAACTTTATGAAGGCTCGTAATTAGCGAACGCTAAGCGCAAAATTCACAGGAATATCCCAACCTGACATCTGCGTCTATATTTTTGACAGCTCAAGACTAGTCGCGCGTTACGCCTCCTAAGTAAAATTGACTACGTCATAGCGACTCTTTCGTAGTTTGAATCAGAGAATATTGTGTTCGTGAATGATGTGAAATATCAAGCCGCCATAAAGTTTGAATAGCAAATTAGCAAGATACATGTCCATAGAAGTGTTAAATTAAACAATTCGGCCATTCGAATATGATCTTTATTATAAATGCAATATAAACTTTATCGTGATATTTAAAGGAATATTGTCATAAAGTAGTTTTACTTATAAACTTGATTTTTGTAAAGAAAAAACAAATTTTCCATTGACGTATGTTGGTGTTGTTAGGAAGAAAATCCGACAGTGTTCCGGTGTACTGGCACAACACTAGCCTTACTAAAACGTTGACGTATATGTCCCCTCACTAATCATTCTGACACTTGACTTTGTTATTAATAATTTCTAAAAGTGTTTAACTGTCAAATTCTGTTATACGTTTAGATTTATGTTATTTTTTCTTAAAGTTCACTAAATATGGTTTACATTGCATTTACTCACAATTATTCAAACCTTACCCTGTCACTACGGAATCTCATACAACTAAACATGTTACATTAAATAATTATTTACTTTAGGAACAACGTTCAATAAATTGTTGTGGTAAACATAACACTTACATAATAAAACATAAATAAAGATCACAAATGATCTTAAAGTTTAAAATAATGAGAAAACTACTTTATCGACGGAGTTACTTCGTCTTGTGATAAAGAATCGAACAAGTCTTTGGAATGCCTTCGACCTTTTGGTTTGGTTTTACGTCTTTTTGTTGTATTTTCATTAAGAACTTCATGACATCTTACGCGCAGACTTTTCAACATATTCGCTTCATTGGAATGTTTTAAAATAAATTCAGATGAAAAACACGAGAAAAGTGAACTTGAAATCTTAGTTTCCATATCTTCGATATTACGAACGTCAATTAACGGAAAAGAGATATTTTTCATTTGAGATACGCAAGAACGATTCTCGCTGTGTGTTTTCTTCTCAATAATTTCTTTGCATTTCTTTACAGATGTTATAAAATCGTAATATCCTTCAATTTTGACGACGCACTTGTAACAAATTGTATTAGGAAAATCGGATTCTTTTATCGTAAGATTTAAGCAGGTGAATATTTTCTCCAACATATTAATTTTTCGACAAAAACTACCGAACAGCGATACATTAAAATTACTATCCGATAAACAAAAGCGACAAAAGTATCGCAATGTTTCCATTATAGTTAATATCAAGCTAATTTTAATTATAAATGTAGAATATAGTAGATCTAACTCGTGTAAATTTCGCGCCTAAAACATGACACAGATTATGACATCTGTGTCTTGTTTCTCGTTCTACAGATAAAAAATATCGAAGCTCTACTTTTTTAAAATCGTAATTTTACGGAAAAAGGAAGGAGCGTAATTATTATATACCGGTTTGCAAAAAAATACTATTTTGGACGGCTCAGTAGTGTCATCTAAGTATACAATGCCTTCTTGACTTTATTTGTATCCAAAATATAAATTATCAAACCGTCGTACGTATTTAAAGGATGTTTAGTTTAATTACTTACAGACCGTTACATTCAAAAGCATTAATATAATAGCGTTGTCAAAACATTTATATTTTGTGTATATATATAGGAAAATGGCAAAGAAAAAAATATTACTAATCTTCAATTGAATTCGAAATTCAAAAAACATTACAAATTCCTCCAATTACGTTAAAAGATTGCAAATTATTAGTATAATACAAATTTGCTATAGCAAAATAATAACAGTTAAGATATAGTTAAAATATGAATAAATACAAACCACAATATATAAATGTAAAATGTCTGCGAAATAATTTAAAATACAAAGTATGAATACTTAATTTTAATATAATATGAAGGTTGTAAGATCTTATCTATATTCGATACAGATTGTCTTAAAGCAAATAAATTAAATCACATATTCAACCTATTGTATACATGTTAATGTGTTCTATTTTAAGCCACCACACTCCTGTTCAAAAGACTTATGTAATGTTAAATAAATAGCTATACATCGCGACCCATCGTATAACGTTGTGAAGCAAGCTTTCGTTTAAATACCGCGTATTCAACATTCGAAAATTGTGACATTTTGAAAACAAGTTACGTGAAACGGAACGTTATTTGTCTGTGGTATTAATTGACATTTTATTTTCTTTTGGTGTTGCAAGTTAAAATATTTTTTCAACTGTCACAATTCATCGATTCTAACGGGATAAGACTAAACGGTGTCTTCCTCTTTTTTGCCCCAGAACTTATCAAATCTGTTGCGAGCTCTGTCAAGCACCTCGGCCGCTGTCAAACCGCCTGTGTTAGGCTCATTGACAACCGTAGTGTCTACCACCCCAGGTGCTTTTTGGGTCGCTTCAGTCGATTTCTTAACGACCTCTTTTTCTTTTATAGTTTCCTTTATTGGAGTTTCAGGAGTCAATTGATTACTATCAATGCCATTTATACCGTTTACTTTATTCATGTCTAAAGCCTTCGTCTCATCAATAGGAGTGAGGCTGATCGGTGTAGTAGGAGTTTTGTCAGTCCGCTTGCTGAGACTTGTAGGTGATTCGCTCTTTTTCAATGATCTTATCGGTGACATTTGCTGATGATGTATCGGAGCGATCTCTGTAACATTTGATATATTCATTTCAAAAGTTTTTTAGGTTAACTTTAATGAAATAAAAACGTAGTATAATAAAATATATTTTCTCTGAACATACGCAAACATACACAACGTAGATACACAATAATTTAGAGAACTTTTTTTTTATTAACACACATCCAATAAGCACAGAGATATGACAACATCGAATTTGTTAACAAATATTTTTGAAAGAAGCGTATATATTCGTTACTAAACAAGTACTAAAAACTAAAACAACACTTATTTACTTTTTCTTTTACCAAGCCTATGATTTTAGATAAGAGCTTAAGGATTAACGTTTATTGTCTTTGGTTGGGGAATCCCAGAGCTTAGTGTTGCCAGTTTATAAAATTGACATAACATATTTTTCATTTGTTTGTAAATTAGTAACGAATATATACGGTTTTATCAGCATTTGTTTATTTTAATGGATTAATTATAATTTTGGGGTTTGTAAAAGTACTTACTTCCGATATTTTGATATTCATAACCGTCTGTTTAATTCCATTTTCGAATTTCATTTTCTAAATTATTCACATTTTTAAAATTTTACATATCAAATTTACTTTGTGTCTTTATTGGGTATGCAAGCTATTTTCTATAGGATTCTAATCATTTCGTTATTTATTAAAATTGTATCACTACTTTGTGACGGATAAAGAAATATTTTAGTTCTTTTGCATTATAAAACACTAAACTATTAACTTTATAACCTTTACATGCTAGTAGAAAACATCCTAAGCTAAATATAAATGTTGTTAATATCTTTTCTCATTTTTTTCGATTATATTCATGCGACTATGTTAGTGAATTATAATGTAATGACACCTGACGATTACTATGACTAGTCCTAGAGATAGCGAAGAAGCCGACCTATAGTAACAGCACAGAAATGATTAGGAGGAGTCGCCGTCGGTAACCGTCGGTAACCGTCGGCAACCATCGGTAACCGTCGGCAACCGTCGGCAACCATCGGTAACCGTCGGCAACCCCTCTCCGAGAGTTTGATAGGGCAGGCATCATGCACGAACGGTTTATGACATGGATAAAGAGGTTACAATCAAGTGCCATACAGTGAGAGTGCGCGCAAACATCGAAAGAGACACACACACAGACAAGTGGATACATACGTGACGTCGACGTCTCAGCGGAGTACGGTCAAAATAAAAAAGCATGTCAATTATTGGATTAACACAATTTAATCATGAACTATTCAATAGATATAATATAAAACACATTAATATAATCTGGTGTCGATCGTGTGTCGTGCGCGACAGTGAATTCTAAATATCAACTTTAAGTCAACGTGTTAGAGTTCAGTGTCGCACTGTCGTTTGTCACACTCATTAAAACGTGTATGGCCGATGGTCTAGGCGGTGGCGATGTTCGTCGTACCTGCCGGCTTCACGGATGGAACCTCTTCGGCCACGGAGCCAGCTTTAAACTCAGAGCTAGGGCGCTTTACGCTCTCATCTGAAATATGGTGAGTGATTTGTATGGTTTGGATGAAGTGAGAACACACGCTACAAACTACGACCACAAAATAAATTGTTAGGACCGAATATACTGGAAATGACACAATCTTGTGAAGAAAAAGACATTATGATATGTCATGTCATTTATTTCTACTCAAAGAGAAATAGCTCATGACGCAGCATATGTAATTTCTACCCACGCTTTTTGTATTTGTCATTTCCAGTATTACTCGATATAAGGCACTACATAAATAATCAAATTAATATGTGTTTAATAAAAAGATTTTAAACTTAATTCAGTTTAAAGAAAATGTAAAATTAATTGGAAAATAATCGAGAACGCAACAACAATGATGCGAAAACAAAATGGATGATAGAAATTTATTTTAATGAGTGTTTTATCCACAGTTTAAAAATCGTGTTCTATAATCTGCGCATGATTTTATTGTGTTTCGTTTTTCGTGTCAGTGTTGCAAGCCTTCTACGTACTCTAGTGTGGGGTTGCTTTACACACTTTGGTAATGGTTGAATGAGTGTTATGAATCTGCTAACTGTCAATGACGTGGCAGTGTGATGGCTTTGATTTATTTCGAATTAATAAATTATCAAGTATCAAGAGTTGACTTAAATTATATAAACTTTTTTTTTAAATTATATTTAGTAGTTATCAACTGTGGATACTGAAGTAACACTGGATTTCCTACACGAACTATAGACAATATTCTTACCGATTAATGCATTATTAAGAGTATCTTGATCATAGACTACGATTTTCTCTTGTCTATGTCATCTTTTAAATTGTAACACTGAGAATTATAGATGTCATTTATGTATAAAATTACACTTACACTTATCATAAACAAATATTTATAATACGCTATTACGTTTGGCGCTCTTTGGCATAACCTATAAAGTAGATTTGGTTAAATTAATACAAAATACAATTACATATAATATAATTCGATATTGAATTCGATTAAGATAAATTCAAAACTTTGTAATTAATTAATTTTAATTAAACTGTTATATAAAAATAAAAGAAACCCAAAGTCAGTGAAACCATAACCATAATGTGTAATGAAAAAGATACTCTTAAAGTGAAACTAATTTTACGATGTATCTTACAAAATATCCTTAACCCAACAGGAATGTAAAATATCTTACAATTGTAACATTATATTAAATTTTTATAGAACAACATAAATGCGTAAAACGAAGTTTCACAGATTATGAAACTAACTTAACCTAAAAATATTTGCCGCCAATCTGGCAAGGAGATTGGACTCACCGCTTTTGACGTTTTGTGTGACGGTGAACGTCTTGCCGGTGTCAAGAGGCACGGTCCAGTTGACCGGATCGGGAGACCGCATGTTCAGCTGCTCCGGAGACTTAACCCTGGTCGGCTCTGGTGGTGACTTGACCACGGGGGAGTCGTCGAAGAAATGATCCTTAGCGACGGACGCGCTACGGTGAGCGGGAATCTCATCATCTGGAAGTCAGGTTAACATTCGGTTTAATTTAAATTCAAAGAATAAACAAGCATGTGTCGTCAAAGATTAAATTTTCGTTTTTTTCTTTTAAATTAAGATAGACTATGTAAATTAGAGTTGAGTTGAAGGTAAAAAGGTTAATTACAGAAGAGTTCGTATCAAAATGAAGGAGCTACAGCTAACGATTTTCAAAACAGGCAACATCAATAAGAAAGTTCTACGGAGACGAAAATAGGCTTTGGTTTTTTCTTGGGGCCTTTTTAGAATATCTTTTAATAACAATAAATAATCGTATTTTATTCCATTAAAGGCGCTAAGAATTACATGCAAAAAAAATCTAATTGTGATCTAATCTAAACCCTTTCTAAACATGCGTTCAAACAGTTTTTTTTTAAATTGTGCTACATGTAAGAGTATAGTATTTTACAAGATGTCTTAACTTTGTAACCAGAGAAGAAGATTAGTACTAATTTTTAATGTAAACTAACATCTATGTTGGTTCTTGATTCGTTAGTAACCCAAAATATAGGAGACAACAAAACCCTAAAGTTACGCCGTAACAAAGTTATCCAACTATTTGAATAACTTAAAGAAAGTATTCGCTTAAAGTTGAAGTTTCCACATTGTTTTGTGTTCGAGTGCAAATATTTATGTGTACCACACGAAGACGAACAGCCACTCTTGTGCCTAAGCCATATCCAATGTGAGCCAATGCGCTTTGTGTGACGTTACGTTGCGTAGACGCACTGACAAACTAAAAACAACGAAACTCTTAAATTATAACACTTAAAGCTTTCAGAAGCTTTGCGGTGAAATTCTGAAAGAAAAACATAAAAAAAACACGAACACAGAGAATCACAAAAGCGTCACAGACACAAAATTATTGAAGCTGGCTCGGTGACCATTGTTGCCTTTGTCAAAGAAAAAAAAAACAGCGCGTCGACGCAACTGTCACCTGTCAGCCTCGTACGCACCCAATTTAATGCCCACTTTCGAAATGCTGCGACTGCGCCGTCCCCGGCTAGGTGTCTCAATTGCCCCATTTGTCCCATTTACTGTCACAGCCCCAGTTTTGCTTGGCGCCGAGGGCGACCTTCCACCCCTCGATGTCGACCTAACTCTATTACTACCCAACGGCAAACCTACAGAAGAAATGTTGCCACTCTAAAATTAACATTTAATACTTTCAGGATACTACAAAAGCAGAGGTCAGGGTAATCATTTTAAACATTGAACACATTTTTGACAGTCAGGTTGCAGGATAGTTACTAATACTAACATAAGGCCACTACATTATCTTCTATTAAATTTCAAATATGAAGTAATCATGAAATTTAGAAAGTATGAAGACATTTTAATTTTCCATGGGTGATGAGTAAAATTTTGAAGTCATGCATTTACACGATATTGTATCCAATTAAAGTATTTCACCTAGTCTTTGTGGTAATTCGTTGCGCTGTAATATGGCAACATAATTGTCTATGGTAATTAAAGTCACAGATTATCATACCTTGTGGCTTGTGCGGGCGCGGCTCGTAGTGCGGAGCGCGGGCGACGGGCGCAGGGTCGGCGGAGCGCGGCCGCCGGCGTGGCGACCTGAACGACTCCGTCTTAGCGCCTAAACAATCAAATCGGATTAGTATTTTACTCTTTAGTTATAAATTTAAAGATTTCTCCACCCTTACCTTCTTGAGTAGCACCTTCGTCGAAGCTATGCCCCTGGAGTTTCTTGCGCTGCTTCTGGGGCGATGTCTTGTGAGGAGACCTCTCCAGGGCCTTGGTCTCTTGCAGTTTAGCGTGAATAGACTGGTGCGGCGCTGAACGGAACGACCTGAACTTCTTAGGAGAATGGTTCCTAGATTCCTTGCCGTCTTTCTCATCGCGAGGGAGAACCCTGGAAGGAATTCATTAAACATTTCGCTTAGTTTTAATAAAAGGGAACATGTTTACGGTTTTTTAGATTCGAAGGCGTTATTAACCAGAGGATAGGAAGAGCTACTTGTTCTATGTATTGTTAAATACTGCATACATGCTAGTCATAGCTCAGTATAAATATTTAGCCTGCGTGGGATACGTTTACCTTAAACTAATCAGGCTGATGATCGCTAAACTACAAGAGATGGCTTTATTTTGCATCAAAAGCCATTCTGCTAGCATCAGCCTCAATGCTAATTAGTCCTATGATAATGTCAAGTGAACCACTCCATAATGAAAAATTACATTGAACATAGGAATGCAATTTTTACGAAGTTGGTCCATCGAGTCGGGTAGACGGTTCACTTGATAGAATAACCGAGTGCATCACTTACTTGTGACTGGTGGAAGCTAGTGATAGGGCAGACAGCGAGGACCGGCGGGAGACTTGGTACCAGAGCTCGATTTGCTTATTGTAAAGCTGAGTGATGTGTTCAGGAGCTAGTTCTGTTCCCCAGCCGCGATACTGTCGAATTAATGCTCACTTTGTTATGACTGAAGCGTGATTGCTTTGTGTCATCTGTCAAACCATAGATATTATGAATAAGAATCTGTTTAACCGTAAAATGATTTCTTAACATTTGACAGTTGACACCGCTTGCTTTATTGCGGCAAATGTGTGCAATGGTACCAGTGACGCTTTTGGTGGTTTTTAAAATTTATTTTGAAACTTATACGTCACACTATATTTAATAAATAAATTATTATAGTGTAAAACAATACGATTTATATTTTATAAAAGATGTAGGGGGTAATCGGGGTTCGAGTAGGGGTAAAGATGTTGTACAATCCGCAGACCTTGTACTCTCCGGCTCTCTTGCGCAGGTCCAGCACCTCGCGGTACCAGGAATCGCCCTGCGCGAGGCCGAGCGGCTGCAGGCCGGCGGCGCGCAGCGTGCTGGCGCTGTCCTCGGCGGCGGCGGCGTTCAGCGCCGCGCTGCCCGCGGCCCCACGCGCCCCCGCCCCAGCCCCCGCCCCGGGCTTTGCCCCCGCCCCCGGCCCCGGCCCCCCGCTCTCGCTCGCCTCTACCACCAACCTCTCGCTCGCTTCCTCATTCGACTTCCCTTTCCCCCTGCATTTCGTAAACGTCCCTTTAGATGCCTCGTACACGTACTGAGAGAACGGTCTAAATTTCTTTTTGTACTCGCTTTTGTAACGTTTCCTATTATCTTTGGAACGATCCTCCCCGTTGTATATGAGGGCCGATAGCGCGCTACGGAACGTCGATTTTCTGCAAAATTCCAGTTCACAGTCTTAGAACGCTCGTCAGCCACCGACGATGAAATGCGGCAAAACAAAGAGCTCGCCCGAGCTCGAGCTGGGTTAGTAAGGTAGACATGCTTAAATAATCTGAAGCACGCAATGGTGAGGTTAGGATGTTAGTCCTGAAAGAGACCAGAGGAGGGAGGCGGGCGGCGAGGGCCGCGCGGCTCGGAAGTGTTGGTGAGACAGCGACAACAATCTAAGTAGGTCTGATGACATAAACATCGACAAGGTGCAGGACACATTGATTATTAAAAAGTTTAACTATTAGCTTTCATTCCGAACTAATTAGTATCGACTAAACTACTCGGCCTAGACACCGCCACCGCCACCGTGATCAAATTTAGATTGAAGCAAATATCAAAAACGAAATTTAGACTTGTTCTGCTGTTCCCAGTATGATGTGAAGGTTAGAAGTGACAGGGGCAGAACTGGGGCGTGAAGGAAACTCTTAACGATGCTTTAAATTTACGGGTGGGACAAACACCATATCATTGTCTAAGTAGTAATGAAAATTCCAAGAAAAATATATTAAGGTACACAATATAGTATTTTTATTGCTAAAAATTGTTTAAGGAATCTAAATTGCGACAAAAACTGTATTCGACCTTGTCGCTAATGCGCTATGCTAACGTGACATGTGAAGGTTATAAGGAAATTGGCAATATCAAGGTTCTACATTTATTTGTCAAGTTACAATTTCGCTCAATATACGATAAGAAGTATTGGCTATTAGTTTGGCCATTTTGTTTCCTGTCCATTATTACTTACAATCATTCAGAGCGAATGACGTGCTTTCGTTACCAAGTCAACTGTCAGATTGATTAGTGAGGGGACATTAACATAGACATTTTAATAAGGCTAGTGTTGCGCCGATACACCGGCACAGTGTCGGATTTTCTTCCTTACATTATAAAGTTTGTATGTTTTAAAAGTTTCCTTCATCGCAAGATAAGTACACAAAGCTAGACATATATTAAAAGCTAGCAGTGATAACGGAAGTCTTTCTAGTTTTCTTTCACCTGAAAAAGTCGATTTTTTTTCTTAAATAAAATTAAAAACCAAAAAAAAAAAATACGTATACTCTTTATTAACAATGTACAATAAAATATCCGGAATTAAACGGGTTTTATATTCTATAATTTCGTGTTGTCTATGGTTTTTCTTGTGTCATTTGAGTGTCAAATGCTTTTGAAGTGTCAAATTTAATATCTGTTTTATAAATGAGCGCGAAAAAGCTTTGTAGCCGAAGCAAAGCGATCTTGACGTTACAAATGACATGATTTGTTTTACGTATTTTATGTGATTTCTATAGACATTTGTGTCAAAGATTTGTATATAGCTAATACCGAAAAGATAAAGTGCATGCTAAAATGATAAGCAATATTTATAAAGTGATAATTTGTTATACTAAAAAACTATAAATAAATAAAATACAAATTAAAGTTTAATTTAATAGCATTGAATGAAGTGGTCAAGCTGAATCTAATCTTTTAGAGTCTTTTTGCAAAATCTATAAATGTCAAAAAGAATCTATAAAATTAGTTTTCTTTTATATTGTCCAATTCAATTAAAATATATTCAATTTCCTAATTTATAATTGAAATGGACAAATAAATAATTTTATTAATTTATTTCAAACGTACCTTTGGACTCCGGGCTTTTGGCCGTTCCACAAATAATCTTCGATGTATCGTTTTTCTCTGTGGTCATCATGGTCGCCGTCCACGTGGTTCATCAGTGGTTCAGCTTCAACTGATCCTGCAATATAATTGGTATTATGGTATTTGATTTATCATATTAACTTTATCTTTAAACCTTGTATATTTTTCTTGATTTGTCTGTTTAGGATTATTACGTAAAATACGAAGTTGCGGAAAACAATAATACTACTGTTAGGAAGAAAATCTGAAACTACGCCGGGGTACTGGCGCAATACCAACCTTACTAAAATGTCGACGTTTCTGTCCCCTCACTAATCATTCTGACACTTGACTTGGTAACGAAAGCACGTCATTCGCGCCAAAGGTGCAATTATCATAATTTAAATTGTTCGCCAGTAGAGGACTATCCCAACTTATGCCAAGAGAACAAATGCATTTGAACATCAGAATGAGAACGGATATGTTTGAGGTTAGGTTACGTTTAGTAATTCGGTAAAGTGGAACGACATAATAGGGGTTAATGCATAATAGGCGACAAAGATACACTGAACTTAAGATGTATTTTCGGCCTATTATTTGATTTAACTCTTGAATATATTCAAATGTTATACAAATAACATTACGGATATATTAAGGAAGATTTGAACGTCTCTTCACAACTAATTTGAATACTCAGCGGAGGACTCCGGCTGAGAAGTGGCAGATTGTTTCGAAACTGTTTGCTTGACAATCTGCCGAAAGCAGAAGTAATTTACAAAGTTAAGTAGCTCTCTATTATTCCTCAAGCGATATAAAATAATATATAAGTATAAAATTACAAAACAAAAAATGTAATTAATGTCGCCTTATTTTGACGTATGTCACGTATAATTTTGACAGTTGAGACTGTCAAAAAATACTTTTTTTTTAAAAGATAAAAAAATTAAAGACAAAACACGTCTTTAAAGATACCTTGTGTTAAGAATAAGGATCATTTCAACGTAAGAAAAGAGGAATATAAAAATTTCCAAGACATATCTCCTCTTGTTTTTGTAGCTTGGTCACATTAGCGGAGTGGGTGCAAATGTTTTATGTATCAGTAAATGGCGAGCTTTTGTTTTTAGTTCATTCAGACGAGCCATTGTCCCCTTCAGACAGCAGTCTTCAGTCTTTTCTACTGTATAATATGGCAGGGTTCAAATAAAGTATGAAAATAGCTTTTTAATGATAAAACATTTCATTTCCCGATTTTATTTTAAAAGGCAATTATTACATTTTCATGAATGTAATACTGGCTGGTTAGAACTAGCCTAATATCAAACCTCTTTCGTTATTTTTCTTAACGTTTACCTTCAGCCACTGCGGCTTTCTTGAGAGCGCCCATAGAGATGCTCTTGCGTGGTGTATCCGAGTCCTTGGGCCAGGCGAACTGGTTGCGGTACTCCGTGCACACAGCCACCTCGGGCTCCTTGACCGCCAGCACCTCGCCCAACGCTGTTGTAGCCTGGAAATTGTATATGAAGTTAACATCTCGCAGAAGACACAGCTAAATGAATTAGAAGTTACTGGAATATAGCCTAAGACGGACCATCTCCAAAATAGTGGCACTCAAGGGCCTGATCCGCGAGACAAAAGGACAGTAGTCTATGTCAATGGTTTGTTGATGTTTAGTACCTTGGATTCGACGGTGTCAGTCCAGCGTGGCTGACGTGGTCCCTCGGACTTGCTGCGCCGCGCTGCTCGGTCCACGTCATCCCTTTGAACGCTCTAGGAAATATGATAAGCTAATCAAAATGAATTGGTTAATGGACTTGAACATTTAGATGTTGCAGTAGAAGAAGATAGTGACTTTAGATGACAAAAGATGACTGTGAATATTAAAGCTTCTTCTATCATAAAAGTACTTATTTTATTTATAGAAATTGCGTAATTTCTTATAGTGATCTCTTGTCTCACCCTAGCTCGTCCGTAGGCGGAGTTGGGATGGGGTCGGATGTCGTCGGCGGGCGCGGGATCGAATATCTCGTTGGTCTTGTACGCCACGCCGGGGTACTTCTTGCGACGAGGTATCGCCGGCTCCATCGGACCTGAGTACAAGAAAACAACCAACTTATTACAGGATTCTATTCAATGAAAATGGACAACTTAAAGAGAATAGTAATTGTGAACCTTCATCCTCGTCACCGAATTCTAATACTATTGATGAACAGTATATTCTTTCAACCTTTTAGACATTTTACTTGGTAAATGTGGGTAGGTATTAGCCCTAAGTGTTATTTGCAAAGTTTACCAGCAATCGAATCGTGTTTCAAACTACTCTTAACGTCTCAACTAGTTGCTGACAAGTCGCAGGAAATCCTCATTTATCAGCAAAACTAGGTCAATCGAACACTAATTTGTTAAGTTATTATACTACGAGTATACGTTAAAGAAACTTCTATAGGTTTGCAAATTTATCGTTCATCTTGATAGTTTGTCATAATTGCTACATTTTTCAAATCATTGCAATCATCGACCGTTAATCAGATAACTATACTAACACCACAAAATAATTCTGGAGATGGATAAAGATTAGCAACGCATTTGCAACACATTATAGGCACAATCTTGAAGAAGGATTGCGAAAAGGCCAGGCAAATAATCTTTTGGAGATGGACTCCTATCAGTAGATCGGAACAGTTGGGCAAGTGGACTAATGTCAGGAATGAGGTAAGACGCCTAACCAAAACACCGCTGACCTTCTCTTACTTCTCTTACGAATACTGATGGTGACTCACCCCTGGTAATGGACAGTGCTGATGGCGGCGTGGGCGCGGGCTGCTTGACGACGCCCTGCTGCTGCTGTTGCTGTTCTTTGTACTCGTGCCATCTGTACGTGCTGCGGTACTCCGAGTGAAGCTACAGAAAAAAAATAAGTTCTTAAAATATACAACAGAATATAAAACATATTAGCTGAAAAATCTGTGCCAGGGGTAACAATAGACGTTTAATATTTAGAGCTATCGTTTTAAAGATAAACAAGAACATTCAAGACGATTGATAACGGCACCCAAAGATTACAGGCTCTTAGATCAATCAATAGTATAGTCTTAATGTAAATGTGCCCAGGGATTTTACTGGTCATCATCATCAGCTCACTATACGTCCCCACCGAGGGGCTCGGAGCCTACTCTAAGTTAAGGGTAATTAGGCCATAGTCAACCACGCTGGCCAAGTGCGGGTTGGTTGACTTCACGCATATCTTTGAATTTCTTCTCAGATATGTGCAGGTTGCATCACGATGTTTTCCTTCACCGTAAGAGCGTCGAATAAATGTACATATGAAAATCGCAAATGGAAAAACACATTGGTACATGGCGGGATTCGAACCCAGGACCTGCAGATTGCAAGTCACGTGCTTGACCCCTGAGCCACTGACGCCAATGTTTTTACTGGTCAGTAGACGCTAAACATATCGTAGCTTCTAACCTTCCTTAGTAATCGCAGTATCAATGCAATTAATTTGACAAATTGTGTTGATAGTTGTCAAGATTATCGTAAACTTAAGTTCAGTAGAGTGGACAAAGAAAATATTTCAGCCAAAATAGAAAAGTAAACTAAAGTTAACTGACTTATAGCCAATGTAACTTAGTTAATCTATTACTTATCTCACTTGAATGAAAATATTTCGAGACAAATTGCTTTCCGATCTCGCCACGGATATTGCTTGTTGTACGATGTAAGAGTAAGGCTAGTGATGTTCTGTTGAAGGTATCGATATTATTCTTTATCGATATAGCTTACTAACTCTTAAGTTTAGTGTTAAAATTGCAGATATGTTAGTGAAATGAAATGATAAATTTTAACTTTATAATATTTTAATGTTATTTTAATTTTAATTTAGAATTTTATGAACAAAAATATTTTGATCATGAGTGTACATTTTGCTGTTTTTTATGAATATTTATTTAGTTAAATAAAAACTTAAACATATTGATATTCATTAAAATAATGATGAAGAAATTAAACAATGATTCATTCATTCAAAAAATACGCACGCAATATTGCGTAAGCCTTACATTGTTTAGGTCAAGCATCTGTAACGAACAGACAATAAATCTTGCTTATGCCTTAATAGCTGTAATAAATTTTAAAACAGTCTAATATTTGAAGATAAGGTATTCAGAGCACGTGGAGGGAATCGTTGGCCCCTCGATTCAACGCACGGGAACTCGGACAGTAGGAAGAGTATAATTTAAAAAAAAAAACTTTTATTTAAGGAACATGGTCGTAATATCGTAATATAAAAGTAAACGGTCCCTCAGATTTTAAGAATTAGAAAGGAAACGAATTTGATATCATCTTTTTTAGAATCGGTAGAGCAGTTTAGTATACATAGATTACAATGCGATAAGACATTTCCTAGTAAAAATGTCCAGTTTTTCGAATAATCTTCCATAAAGGAGATATATTAAAAGAAAAGTAATCTTGTTATGTAGACGTAGACGATAATACGTGGAAATTGCGGTTATGTTATTCCATTAGTCCTGTTTTTCCATTCATAAACCATGGCCACTTCAACTTTAATGTATTCCAATTCGATGACTCCGGGCTGGCGGCACACTGCACTGATAACCCTATTTGCGAAACGCTAACCAAAACACATACAATAAAGACGTACACGAGAGTAAATATTTGTTGATACTTATCCTCAGTATCGAATAGATTAAACTTTCGTCAAACATTACTCCATTAGCCGAAATATCAGAATACTCGCTGACTAGCTTCTTACGCATATTCTCTTTTACACAATCATTTCAGACTTTATCCATCTACTCTGTACCTATTATTAAATCTCATTATTTTCTTGAGACATTAGTGTAAATGTAAGTAGGTTATACTACTATAATCCCAATCACATTCACCCTGTAGAAGCTCCGATGAACTAGAAACTAGATTTCGACACCGGATTAAGTATACATGAGTGTACCCGTTTTAATTTTGGATTAAAGTATTAAGGAACGGCTTGACCGATTATAACGGGACTTGGAAAGGTAGTGAACACTAGCCTTACTAAAATATCGACGTTTTTGTCCCCTCACTAATCATTCTGACACTCGACTTTGTAACGAAAGCGCGCCATTCTAGACAAACGATTCAAACTAATAATATCTAAAAGTAGATAGCTAAAGCACACGGGCATTTTATAGGTTACTTTTTTTAATTTCACTCTGACAAAGACCACTAGTTAACTACAGAAGTTTTCTTGCGATGAAAATAGCTAGCTTTAAAAGAATGGCGAATTGTTTTAGCGCTCGTAAATTTTATTGATTGAAGACGAGTTTTAGTAGACAAGCTTCTACGCTCACTTCTAATTTAAGTATTTACTTCATGCAGGTAAAAAGATATTCTCCATTGTATTTACGAGTAAAATATGTAAAGCTATAAATGCCGTTACAGAAAAGTTATATAAAAGTCCTATTAGTAAGTGAGTTTTTAATTTCTTTAAGATTTCTTTCGTTTTGAAAGTACAAAGTTGCCAGTAAAAGGTGACATCAGATCAAAGTCGTGAAACGTTCGAAAACATGAAATATAAAAATATAGAGTTTGTTACTTAACTATAAACCTTAAAGTTTATGGAATGAAATAGTTTCTTGTAATCGTAGTCATATTTTCAATTCACTTAACCGTATTAACTATAAGTTATAAAATAACACAAAAACAGTTTTAAAATTAGTCGAATTAAAAAAAAAACATCAGTAATTTGAAAGAGAATTATTTTATTAATTAAAATATGTCTTCACTCAATTGCTTATTTATCAATACCACAAATTCATCGAAGACTGAATTAGAAGTTTAATATTAACGTATAATTTAGCATTTATTGCGTGTAGGCGCCGTGGTGGGGGTTGGAGTGTGGCGGGGAGGGACTTTCTTCTGGCGACCGTGTTCCTGGATCGATATGGCTCTTACGGGGAACGTGAGTGACCTCATACATACGATATATATGTTTATACGATAGCCTATTCAAATATTTGATTACGTAGGCTGTGATGTACTAAATATTTTGAAAGATAAATATGTTTTATGTATAAGTTTTAAATATAACGAAATATGCATTATAATACGGGTTGGAACAACGTATATTACCGTGTTACAATTTTTAAAATTGTCAGAATTAAAAATAAAACAAACGTGTCTGTGCTTTTCTCTCCTTAACCTACTATCTATTTTGTATCTTACATCTCTTTCGTGTCACGAAACGTGACGCTTTCACGCTTATAATCTCATCAAAATAAGTCGTTTGTAAAAGAAGAAGAAAATTATGTTTCATCATCAGCTCACTATACGTCTCCTCTGAGGAGCTTGGAGTCTACCATAAGTTAGGCGTGACTAGGTCATAGTTATCTATGCTAACCCAGTAACTTCACACATATCTTTTCTCAGAGATGTGCAGATTGCATTACGATGTTTTCCTTCATCGTAAGAACGTTGGATAAATGTAAAATTTGGCTTACAAAGTAAAAACTTTGGTCGTAAAACTCTTGTGAATATATCTTGATAGTAACTTATGCAATAGACCCAATTATTATTTTTCTAAATCGAATAGAAAGTGACAAATATCAATTACGCCAGAAAACAATACACGAACGCGTTCAAATTACGAAATTTAAGACAAAAGCGAAAGTTTATACCGAGGAAGAAAATCTACACCCGAGGTCGTGTATTTTTACCGTTATTTTTCTGACAGTTCAAAGTAAGAGAATCTGTGAGATTTGAAGAACAAAGCCTTTTGTATTATTCAACGCGGAGATATTAAGAATGGCAGAGGATTTTTTTGTTTGGAATATTATATTGATGTTTTGCCTTAATGTTTGTGTTTTTTTTGTTTAATTTTTAATTTTCTGTCTGATTAAAGTTTCAGTTTGATTATTTATTAAATTGTTTGAATTAAAATATAATCTCATAAAATGAAATTTAACTAAGTAAATAAATTAACTAACGTTCTTACGGTGAAGGAAAACATAGTGATGCAACCTGCACATATCTGAGAAGAAATTCAAAGATATGTGTGAAGTCAACCCGCACTTGGCCAGCGTGGTTGACTATGACCATCACCCTTAACTTAGGGTAGGCTCCGAGCCCCTCGGTGGGGACATATAGTGAGCTGATGATGATGATGATGAAAAAAATTAAAATATAAAAATCTATAGAACCAAAAATAAAACAGTTTGATTTATACGAGAATTACATTCAAAATATATTTTCTTATTCAATTTGTTTAATTGGATTATTTGAAAGAAAAACAAAATAAGATTTATGAAGAATGAGTTGCGTAGCATATTAAAATATGAATATCAAATAGTCATGGTAAAATGAGAAATGCAATAAAGTTGGTTTATCGATAAAGTTCGTTCCCATCACTATTCGGCTAGGCGTCGCGTCGTCGCGTCGTGGCGGGCAATTTCGCAGCCGCCCTTCGACCGCAATAATCTTTCGTACTATATACGACTAGATCCGACTACGTCCGATTAGATCCGACCATGTCTTAATATTGCATCGATTCAAATAACTTCCCTTGCAGTTGAATTTTATAGCCGACTTCAAAAAGAATAGGGTTATCAATTCGTCCGTATTTTTTTAATTTTTTTTTATGTTACCGCGTAACTCCGCCCCTGGTGCTTTCATTTTGATTTTTTTTGATCGTAAGGTTTTGCTTCCAGTTGGGTCCCATGTTTTTGTATTTCTTGTTATTAACTCCACTTAGAACTTTTTCAAATGAGAGATCTATAATTTGAAATAAAACCAATGCGCTATTCAAGTCCCTCTTAATCTAATCGTAGGTTTACACTGGTAATACACCTGAACTTAGGTTGTCCTGTCTTTCATCGAAGCCATATCAGTGGAAACGCATTCTT